TGATACAACTAAAACTTTCTGAAGAATCTGATGCTAAGTAGAAATAAATTTTTTTGAAATTCTGGAAAATAGCTTACTTTTTTATTAAATGAATAGTTGACATTTTTATTTTTGGCATTATATTATTTACATTTGACAGTTTATGAAATTCAAATTTTATAAAGAACATCATGTAATCTAGATAACAACTTCTTAACTTTGTGCTATTTTTATTAAATGCCTTTATCACTCCATAGATAAATGTTATTGAAGGTGTGTGTGTGTGTGTGCGCGTGTGTGTGTGTGTGTGTGTGTTCGTGCTAGTCCTGGAGCTTGAACTAGGTGTGTGTGTGTGTGTGTGTGTGTGTTCGTGCTAGTCCTGGAGCTTGAACTAGGTGTGTGTGTGTGTGTGTGTGTGTGTTTGTGCTAGTCCTGGAGCTTGAACTCAGGGCCTAGGTGCTCTAATTGTGTTTGGTTGCTCAAAGCTAGCAGCTGAGCTACAGCTCTACTTCCAGCTTTTTTTGATGCTTAATTGGAAATAAGAGTCTCATGGACTTTCCTGCCTGGTCTGGGTTTGAACTGTAGTCTTTGGATTGCAGCTTCCTGAGTAGCATGACCCACTAATGCCTGGTGTTGAATATTTTACTGTAATAGAATTGACCCAAATACCAATTAAATTTAACCATATTAGTTTATAAATTGGCTGATTCTTGAAATTTTTGATCTAGTGATAATAATATAAAATTAGTTTTTTTGTGAAAACATGCCATATTTACTTTCATAAAACCATTTGTTTGGGTTACTCTTTCAGTGGGTAGAGTATGAAATAGACGTTTGTATTTTTCTGTTGGCTTGTTTAGTGATCTGTTCCCACTTTAGACACTAATCTTCTTTTATTTTAGGGAATAATGCTTCCATAAATATAGAGGTAGATCCCAGACATCCTACCATGCTTCCTGAGTGCTGCTTTCTTGGAGCTGATCATGGTATGAGATCTGAGAATTAAGTATTTTGAGCAGAATTATAAAATCTCTGTGGAACACTGTTAATGCACTTTAAAATAGTAAAACAAATTCTAATAGTAATTATTTCTCATTACTGAACTGTATACTGTTTAATTTAACATATGTGATTTAAAAATCTCAAACAAAGTAGTTGAGAAACAAATTGTGGATCAAAAGAAGAGCAACAAAAAGTGGTAAATTATTCAACTTTTTCTTTTCCCCCCTAAAGTGGTAAAACCCCTGGGAATTAAGCTGAGCAAGAACATGCATTTGTGGTAGGTATTTTGACAATAAAATTACATTTCTATGATTTTATAAACTTTATAGCAGAATTTTTTTTCCTGCTTTCAGGGATCCAGAAAATAGTCTGTTACAAAATTTGAAAGATGTTTTAGAAATTGATTTTCCACCTCGTACTATTCTGGAAAAATGTGTAAGTGTTATCAGTGCTTTGATATTCTATGTACTGTTCCATAATAAAATTTAAATGCTTCTCTAAGAAAAACCAGTCTGAGAAGGGAGGGAATTGGAGGGAATTGGAAGATGTTATAACACAGACCTCTGAACTACAAGTTAACAGTTGCATCAAAGAACTTGTTAACCTTTGATAGGTGGTTTTCACTGTATTTTATTCATGGTCTTCAACAGTAAAATGATTGATGACAGACAATAAACAGTCCAAAGTAGCTAATGAGATGTTTGGATTTTCTATACTATCTGCATATGTATCACTGAAATAAAGTTCTAATTAGTTTGATAGTGTGAAGGATAGCAATGCAGTTTTTCAAGATGAACAGGAACCACTATTATTGTAAAGATAATAAATGTAGAACTGATTTTTTACAAAGCTGGTACTATTGTAGAAACTTAAGTGGTGTTAATATTTTTTTATTTTTCTGTATTTGTAGAATTGTGAAGCTAAATAATGACTAGCTAATGCTAATTCCTATCTTCACACACTTTACATACATAATTATGTATATGGGAAAATTGCTCAAACCCAAAAATCTCACCAGCCAAACTACATGCAAAGGAAAGAGTTTCACAAAGTATCTTTGTTGGATGTTAACTAGTGATGTGATTGTATTTGCTATAGTATAGCAAATAGTGACTTCTGTGTAAATCTAAAATTATAAACCTTTACTATTATCCATATTACGTAGTTATTCCTTTGTACATCTTAAACAAATTTACTTAAAATATTAAATATTTTTTTCTTTTGAAGGATTTTACTATGGATTGTGGAATCTGTTATGCTTATCAACTTGATGGTGCTATTCCTGATCAGATGTGCAATTATTCCCAGTGTGGACAGCCTTTCCACCAAATATGCTTATATGAGGTACAACTAGAATAAATTAAGAACAATATCAGCAAGATGTTTAGTAATTCCAACATAGAAAAGTATGTGTATTTGAAATACACAGAACCTAAAATTCGCTTACTCAAGTGTTGCCTTCGCTATGCTCATGTGCATCATTTCCTTTCTTTTAAAAATTAGGGTTTTGTTTCCTTTTTATTGTAATTATCAAGGTGATGTACAAAGGGATTACAGTTACATGTCAGGTACAAATTTCATTTCTTTTTTAGACAATGTCACCCTGCCCCTTTCTCTCTCCTAGTTGCATCATTTCTTCATCATAGATATTAATGAATACATGCCCCAAAGTATCTAAGAACTCAGAGAATCTATTGAAAATCTTGAATGCGAATACATTTACTTTCCCATGCCACTACAATTTGAACCCTGTAGATTCATTCATCAAGGAACAGCAATAAAATGAAAAGATGACAGCTGTTTCTCATTCGGCTGTTCTTAAGTATAGAATAAATACAGTAATCATACTTTTGATATTAAAAATGCATTTTTTGTGATCAGAATGGCCAATATTATTCAGTTAATGCTGTTTTATTTACTGCTTATTTACCATATGCTGTCAGCTTTCATTGTGTCCTTTGTCATTTGACAGTTTATATGATTAACTGGGAATCTATGTAGAAAACACCTTCAAGTTGTATAGGGCTTTCAGTTCTCAAGAGTCTTCCTTCGTATCCTGCCTTTACTACTTTTGTTATTAGAGGCAGTAGTTAATGTTACCTGCACTTTACCAATGGCGAACTTAGGGACACACATTAGTTTACCTTATATAAAAATCATCAAGCACCAAGTCTATAGAATTCTAACGGAATATATGCTTGCTTTTGTAATAATATTCAAAATTTTAATGTCTTTAACTAGTGGAATAAGAATTTACCTGTAGTTAAGGACCAGAATTAAGACCTAATTTTTTTTAAACCTATAATGTCTTTTACAATGTAAAATAAGTGATTAATGGCTCTGTATATGTAAACTACTTGAATACATTTATTTCTGTGTATGTCTATTTGGGAGTAAACTATATAATTATCAGATTTTTAAATGGTCCCATGGTTTCTTTATAAACCAGTAGTTTGCACTTCAGTTTTCAGTTTTGGTCCCCCCTCATAGTCTTATTTGTATTGATACCAGGATTTGACCTCAGTGTTTGCACTGTGGCTCCACTTTGTTGCTCACAGTTGTTGGTATACCACTTGTACCATCCCTTAAGTCCAGCATTTTGCTGATTATTTAGAAAAGAATTTCACAGCCGGGTACTGGTGGCTCACGCCTGTAATCCTAGCTACTCAGGAGGCTGAGATCTGAGGATCGCGGTTCAAAGCCAGCCCGGGCAGGAAAGACCGTGAGACTCCTATCTCCAATAAACCACTAGAAAACCGGAAGTGGCACTGTAGCTCAAGTGGTAGAGTGCTCACCTTGAGCTGAAGAGCTGAGGGACAGCGCCCAGGCCCAGAGGTCAAGCCCCATGACCGACAAAAAAAAAAAAAAAAGAATTTCACAGATGCTTTCTGCCCAGATGGCTTTAGATCACGATCCTCCAGGTCTCAGCCTCCTGAGTCCCTAAGATTATAGGCATGAACTACCAGTAGCCATTTCAGTATAATATCTTCTATTGGCTCAAGAAATATATCTCTTATTCTTGCCAAACACAATTCAGAAGATAATGTTCTGGAAAAACAACAACAGAGTGCTGAAAAGGAAAGGAAGAATACTCTTTGGTGTTATCTGCAATCATGCTGATAGGATTCCTTTACCTTCTTTTTAATCTTCAGTGGTTGAGAGGCCTCCCCACTAGTAGACAGAGTTTTAACATTCTATTTGGAGAATGTCCATACTGCAGTAAGGTAAGCAAATTGTTAATCATATTTCATAAAATGTGCCTAGCTTTTAGTAACGTATTGTAGAAAATAGATGTATTAGTTTATATTTTTTACATTATTTTTTGGGGGTGCCAGACCTGTGGCTTGAACTTGGGGCCTGGACACTGCCCCTGAGCTTTTGTGCTCTAATATTTGAGCCACAGCTCCACTTCTGGTTTTTGGTGGTTAATTGGAGATAAGAGTCTCAGGGACTTTCTTGCCCAGTCTTGCTTCAAACTGTCATCCTCAGGTCTCAGCCTCCTGAGTAGCTAGGATTATAGTCATGGGCCATCAGTGCATGACATTTTTTAAAAAAAATTGTTTAAACAAGTTTGAGATAAATTATCGGTCTTGAGGCTTGAACTCTTGGCTAGGATGCTGTCCCTGCACTCTTCAGCTCAAGGCCAGCACTCTACTGCTTGAGCCACAGTACCACTTCCGGTTTTCTAGTGGTTTATTGGAGTTAAGAGTCTCACAGAGTTTCCTGTCCGGGTTGGCTTTGAATTGTGATCCTCAGATCTCAGCCTCCTAAGTAGCTAGGATTACAGGCGTGAGCCACCATGCCCAGCTTCTAGATTGTTTAAGTAATCTGAAATGTCAGAAAACTATGGTCCAAACTATATATTACATTGTTTCTAGTATACAGTAATTTTATTATTTGAGTGTCTAAAAACTTTGTTAAAATAATTTTTTTTCTTTTTAAGCCAATTACCTTGAAAATGTCTGGGAGGAAACCCTGAAATAAGAGTGTAATATTTCTGTGAAGAACTGGACACATTAAAGTTGTCAGAGAGGTTTTATTTGATATCTTCAGAGAAGATATAAAGCAAGACATACTAACATCAAAAGCAAAAGTATGGTGATGCCATAATAAAATACATCTTCCTTTGTTTCTTCGCTCAGAGTAAACTGGGAAACTGTAGGCCAGAGTCCTTTAGAACTTTCTAAATCTGTGACTGTGTTAGTATATGTATAACAAGATGGAGACCTTGACTTCTTGATCACACCCTGACTGGCAAAATTTTGATAGGGATCACAAAATGAATTTTGAAATTCCATATAATTATATTTTTGTGGGAAGTTCTTTACTCCATTGAAAAGTTCTGAAGATTCAGGATGTTTTTGTCTTCTCCTTGTGCTTTCCTATGGAAAAATAGTTTATTAGAACTGAGTTACCTAAGTATATAATGTACATACTCTAAAGAATGTTAAATAAAACTTGTTAGCATAACTAAATCAGGTAATTTGTATGGTTCTTTTAAACCATGTGAATAGGCTCTGTCAAATAATTGATAATCTAAAAGTTGATAGAATATGGAAACTGAAGTGGGAGGGAAGGCATGGTAGGGGAAAAACAAAGGAGGAGGCAACAATGCTTGATAAGAAACACACTCATTACCTTGCTCATGTAACTGTAACCTCTCTGTACAGTATTTTCATAATAAAAAGCATAAACACAAACAAACTGGGCCTGAGCTGGGAAGTGGCTCAGTGGTAGAGCGCTTGCCTTGCATGCATGAGGCCCTGGGTTCGATTCCTCAGCATCACATAAGAATAAAAGAAAAAAGCCGGAAGTGGCGCTGTGGCTCAAGTGGTAGAAGGCTAGCCTTGAGCTGAAGAGCTGCGGACAGCGCCCAGGCCCAGAGTTCAGGCCCCACGACCGGAACCCCCCCAAAACAAACAAACAAACTGGGCCTAATCTTGTGGGGGTAAGATAGTCATAATTAGAAAACTTTTGGTCAAAGATTCTTTTTTTGTTGTTGTTGTTGGTTGTGGGGCTTGAACTCTGGGCCTGGGCGCTGTCCCTCAGCTCTTCAAGGCGAGCACTCTACCACTTGAGCTACAGTGCCACTTCCGGTTTTCTGGTGGTTTATTGGAGATAGGAGTCTCACGGTCTCTCCTGCCCGGGCTGGCTTTGAACCGCCATCCTCAGATCTCAGCCTCCTAAGTAGCTAGGATTACAGGCGTGAGCCACCAGTGCCTGGCTTGTTGGTCAAAGATTCTTAACCTTTGGCACATCATGACAACTTGATGATTTCTGCTTTTTACTGACCAGAGGCTGAGGCAGTTACCTAGCAAAACTGTCTCACAGATAGAGGTGGGGGTCATGTCTCTTGAAAAGTTACAGGCAGAGATCAACCAGTACAGATACTAGACAAACTTAACTAGTTCCTTATATACATGTTTTATGAGTTGCCTTAAGCCTGAGGAATCAGTATCTTGCTTGCCATTTAACCCTGTTGCCTTGTTTCTGCATCACTTTGGGAGCTTCTCAATTGCTTTCTTCTTGTACTATCTGTCAAGTAATTTAGAAGAAAAAAAAACATAAAACCAAGCCAAAAATACTTCCATCTTCTTCACATTAGTTTCACCAAGAAACATCTGTTTAAGCACCTTCGTTTTCCACCTCTAAACTGCCACCCTTCCAACAGCCTTCAGTTCCCTACTCCCTTATATAAGAAGGCCACTTTTTGAATGTTCTCAGTTTTAGAAGGTGAGAAAGAATTTCTATAAGATATGTAAAACAAACAGATGTTTTGACAGCACTTGAATTCCCTATTAAATAAATTACTTGAGACTCAGATAACTAACGTTAAATGATTCTACTGTCTCGAGAGCTAACAAAATCATACTAATGTAGTTTTCCTCAAGTTCTGTCAGATTTATTCACTAGAGAGAAAAGAAGTGAATAGTTATCCCAGCATACCTATAAATCATTTCTCACACAAAGAGCAAGAATGATGGCATCAAAACATATTTCCAAGGGCTGAGAACTGCTTTCTAAAGGCTTTAGTAACAAATAACATTTACATACAGAGATTATATGTGAAAGCAGAAGATAACCACCTATTTAAGAACAGAATAAGAATAGAAATCAAGATACTAAAATATCAAGAATCATCTACTATATAATCTATAAACTTGACATCTTTTGGCAGACTGAATAACAGTAAAATGGAAAGATGGTACACTGAGAGATCTGACTGGATATAGTAGGATATGGAAAATTTTTCCTCACTTGGCCACCTACATATTTTTTGCATAAAGTTTTGTTATGACACAGCTACTTCCATTTGTTTACAGTCTGTCTGTGGCTGCCTTTCCATTAAAAAGAGTATAAGCTTAAAATATTTTCTGTGTATCAAGCCAATTTGTCTAGACTATAGATGTACTTCAGTGATGGAGTACTTGCCTAGCATGTGAAAGAAACTGGATTTCATCTGCAGCACTGGGAACAAAAAACAAAAACACAAAAACCCCCACAAAACAACAAAAGAAAAGCAAAGAAGTTTGTTGGTCCCTGGCCTTTGGCATTCTTCAAATGTGAAAAGGAAAAATTGCTTGTAATCTTAAAAATGGAAATTTTACTCTGGAGGTAAAGGTGGACTGGAAGTTGCTGAGATTCTGCTTCTAAAAACCATTGTAAAGTACTCCTGGTCGGCACACCACTTTGAGTAGTTGACACTTAATAATATATTATAATCTGTTAATCTGTTCTGCTACAGTGCTCTCAACTTATTGAAGATATTTAACCAATTCTGGAAACTATGAGAGGGTACTATTAGCATCAGATGGATAACACCACAAACACTGGTGACACACACAGTCACCCATGACAAACAATAATCCAGCTCCAAATGCTAATAGTGCAGCTTTAGGAAACTCTTAATCACAACACTTATTAACCTTGAGCACACATTAGAATCAACTGTGGAGCTATGGAAAATATTAGTGCACCTCCACTCTGGCCATAAGTAGTGCCTATCAGATTTATTCCCTTGTTAATTATATTCTAGACCTAAACAGAAGATATGATCAAACTAAACAAATACATTAACTGCTAGAACAAAACCCTAAACTCTGGAATTCAGTAAAAATAGAGTGATCAGTACACAATATTTTACTATACACAGGACTCATGGAAATGCAAACCACAACCAGCAGAAAGAAGAATAGAATCCACATATGTCCCCGAGAGTATATCAAACATGGACAATATAACAACTATATAAGTATGTTCAAAGAATTAAAGAAAAAGCTAAACATAATTTGTGAACAGAGGATTCTTTGTAGTGTTATGAAAACGGACTTCTAGAATTGAGAACCACAACAGAAAATTAAAACAGTAACACTGATCAAGATGCATTGTATACATAGGTTGATAATGTTGAGTTGCAATTTGCAATTCTTTTATACAGCTACTTAAAGATAATAAAACTATATATAGAATCAATGAAACATAAAGCTAGTTCTTTGAAAAAATAAAGACAGACCCTAGCTCAGTTGACAAAAAAGAAGAGAGAAGACATTGAAATAAACACAATTTGAGATGACAGGTAATATCACAACCAACATCCAAGAAATCTAAAAGATTATGAGGGACTTCTTTCAAAGCCTAAACTCAAATCAGTTGGAAAATCTAACAGAAATGTATAAATTTCTGGAGACATACAAACTGCTTCAGGTGAACCAAGGATATAAACGACTTAAACAGACCCATAACACAGTGCGATTGAGGAATAATAAAGCGTCTTCCAGCAAGAAAAGTCCAGGTCCTAATGGATGCACAGCTAAATTCTACAAGACTTTTAAAGATGAACTAACACCAGTACTCCTCAAATATTTCCATAAAACAGAAATGGAAGGATAAGTGCCAAAATATTTTATGAAGCCAGCATTACATGCATCTCCAAACCAGGTAGGGACACAATGAAAAAAGAGAACTATAGGCCAATCTCTCTGATGAACAAAGACATCAAACTCCTTAGTTAAATACTAGACAAAAGAATTCAGCAGCTGGGTGTTTTTAATGTATTTATAATGTATTATGTGAATTTTTTTGTTTCTTTTGTATGTTCTTCCCCCATGGTATAACCCCTGTTTTCACTGTGTTTGATTCCGGTGCCCTGCATCTTGTATGTACATTTTTCTAATTTGGGGAGGGGGAAGAGAAATAACAAAATGCTGAAATAAGGATATAGGTTAACAATGAGATGTACAAGAAAGTATGTTGAAAACGAACTTACCAACTTGGGGCAGAGGGAAAGGATAGGGGGAGTTTGGGGATATGGGGAGGGAAGGGATGGTAGGGGAAAAACAAAGGAGGAGGTAATAATGCTCAATAGGAAATGTACTCATTACCTTACTCATGTAACTGTAACCCCTCTGTACAATATCTTTACAATAAAAAATATATACAAAAATAAAAAGAATTCAGCAACTGGGCTGAGAATGTGGCTTAGTGGTAGAGTGGTTACCTAGCATACATGAAGCCCTAGGTTCAATTCCTCTACCACATAAACAGAAAAAGCCAGAAGTTGCACTGTGGCTCAAGTGGTAGAGCACAGAGAGCCTCAGGGACAGATTCCAGACCCTGAGTTCAAGCCCCAGGAATGGCCCAAAACAAGGAAGAATTCAGCAACTAATCAAAAAATTGTATACTGTAACAAAGTGGGTTTTATCCCAATGAAACAAGGCTGGTTTAATATATGTAAATCAATAAACATAAACATCACATAAACAGAGCCAGAGACAATCACACAATCATCTCAATAGATACAGAAAAAGCCTTAAACATATCCAACATCTATCCATGTTAAAAGCTTTGGAGAATTTAGGACTAGAAGGAACATACCTCAACATAATAAAGGCTATCATTGATAGGCCAACAGCCAACATTATACTAAGTGGTAAAATAAATAAAAAAAAATAAAAGCATTACTTCTAAAAATCAAGAACAAGGCAAGGATGTCCACTTTCTTCACTCCTTTTCAATGTAATTGTGGAATATAATCTCTTGTAGTAAGGCAAAAGAAAGACACAAAAGGGATTCATATAGGGAAAGATGACATGATTTTATATATAAAGGACCTGAGAGACTCCATCCCCAAGCTCCTAGAGCTGATCAATAACTTTGGCAAAATAGCAGGATACAAAAATCAACCCACAATAATCAAAAACTTTGCTGTATACCAACAATGTACAAGCCATAGAGGGAAGTCAGGATAACAATTCCATTTGTAATAGACTAAAAAACTATTTAAAATACTTAAGAATAAACCTAATCAAGGTAGCCAAAAGACCTCTAGTGAAAAGTATGATAGTCTGAAAAAAAGCAATAATAAATGACAACAGGAAATGGA